CACAGGAATTCCCTGCTTTTCTGAATTCTGTGGGTGCATATGTTTGTGTCCCTATTTAGAACTTAATTTATATTCATTTACTTAACATTTTAAAATGTGTGTTTATTTTTCCCCCCAAGAGCAGGGACTTCAGCCATTTCAGTAAGTAGATATTAATGGACTTTCACTGCTCAATTCTGAGCCAAGATAAGGGCACATTCATCTCTATTTTGTTGATGAAGTAAGGAAGTAAAGAGACTTTATGCAGGTTGATTAAAATAAACTATTAATCAATAGTGATGTACATATGGGCCTTAAGTTTCTGTCAAGTGCTGTATCTATTACTAAATTCTCTAAATTAAAAAAAAAAAAATGCCTCACAACATTAAGTAACAATTGCTCCTCTCACTTCTCCCCTCAATTAGTGATGAAATATAATTTAGAATACTTAGATTTATCTTAAACTTTCTATTCAAGATACTGGTTGGAAAGACAAAGAATTTAATATCAAATCCTCTTGGAACAAATGGTATTATATAAAATCTATCTGTTTGCTTACAGGATGGTGGAGGAGAGTGATCTAACCTCATAATAATAAAAGCTCCCTGTTTCATCTCAGAGCAGCAAATTCAATATTTTCCTCCAGACACAACAATGACTGTTTGGTCCTGTGTTTTGCTTTCTGTCCCCTTCCTGGAAATCTTTCTTTGGCGTAACAAATAGCTAGCTCCACCCAGGAATGAGGAGAAATCTCAGTTAATCTGCTGTTTGAATTCTTCCTTAGTAGGTGTAAAAAATAGATTTTAACTTATAGTGCTCTAAATATCTGGAAAGAAATGAAAACCTCAGAAAAATCCCACTGTTTCCAACAACTTATTATTACATGGTGTTGATGAAATGTCTCAATATGATTGATTTCACTTTTCTAACTTCTCCAAAATTGTCTAGACCTTGTCCAAAGATGGATCCACATTATTAACATGGAATAAAGCTTAGTTCTCTCGAAAGGATGATGTCCCTTCTCACAGGAAGAATCCCAGGAAAATCTAGAGTGAGTTATTTATATCTTATTTAAAGTATGAAAGTTAATAAACTATGTCTTCTTTAAATCTCCCTTGAAGTTCAAATATTCTGTTAAAAAAAAAACATTTATTTGTTAATTGCACGATTTCTTTCTTCTTTTCCTTGGTCTACAAACAAAGTTTGATAGAAAAAATATCGTATCTAAATCCTTGGGTATCCTAAGCCATGCATCTCTGCTTTGAGTTTTACAACTCTCAAATTCAATTCAACAAACCTTTATACAGTTATTGTGCATTTGTTATACACTGAGCACTTTGTTAGATCTAGTGGGAGTAGAATATAAAAGTCACAGGGGTTGTTCTCAAGTAGTTTAGTAGAAAGATGTGTGCACACCAAATGTTACACAAGTCAGCTGTAAAAATATTATCATTGGCAAGCAAACAAAGGGGAAAAAGAAAAGAGAGAATTAACTCTACCAGGGAGATCAGCAAAAGCTTCAGAAATAAGGTGATAATTGAGTTGAACAAAGGCAATCCAAGAACACACAAATTTCAATATATAGGGACTTTATAAATTAAGAGAAATTTTTAGAATTAAAAATTAAAACAAAAAATTGTAAAATTTTAAATTTTTAGTTATAATTTCATATTTAAATTTCTCAAATTGGAAATTTGCTATTGAATCATTTTTAGAATAGTCTAGTCCCCCTCTCCATGATTCCATCATTCTTTGCACCTCTGTCTACACTGACAGGTTGCTTTGTAAAAGATTTAGTTCTAGGTGTGTCACTTTTAACTGCCTTACAGGAGAATTACAGCTATATCTCTTTGAAAAGCTGGTGCCAAGGTTAACATTCAGCACATACTAGATAATTAAATTTCTTAAAGGAGTGAATGAATTGAATATTTCAATGTTACTTTGTAAAATGAATCAAATCTTCTAATTTAGCAAATTGATATTTTGAGTCCCTAAATGGCTGATGTCTGCTATGGCTCCACCTTGGTCTCATCTTTAACTGGGCCAGTTAAGGGGCAGGTGGGCACAGTGAATGAAGGTCCCTATTGATATTAAAAAAAACAACAACAACCAAACTCACTGATGTCAAGTCAGATCTGATGTAGTGACCCCTCCTTGGTTTTCCGAGGTGGTATCACTACGGAAGTAGATTGCCCAATATTCTTTCTGAGGAGTAGCAGGTGGGTTTGAACCATCAGCATTCTGGTTAGCAGTCAAGTGCCTTAGGCACTATGCTACCAGAGCTCCTAGTAGTTGTCACTATTCCCACCTTTGTGCAAAGGCCCTCACTGATCCTAAGTGAATTCACACACAAACATTCCTTTCAAGGTGTCTTAAAGATACGGAAAATACATTTCCTTTCTCTGTGTTTAAATTATTGGGTGGTTTTGTCTCACTGCCATCACTGAGCAGAGCTAAGAAAGCCAAACTCTTTGGTTTAAGATATGTATCATACATGTGTGTGTGTGTATCTATATATATGCACACACATACATGCTCACATACAACTCCATGATGCACAAAGATGGCCACAAAACAGTAGAGGTATAAAAGGAGACCACAGACATTAACTTTGATGTGAAACCTTATGGGCAAGTATGGAATGAAATGGGTAAAATGTGAAATTGAATGTTAAAGTAGTTAGTTATCCTTGCTCTCTGTGAGACCATAGCCTATCACTTCACATGAAACACTGGAATTTGCTTATATTTTTTATTTTAGTACTTTTATCACCTATATTTAGGGTTTGGCTTTTTTTTTTTTTTTTTTTGCTTCCTAGAAAATTAACATTTTGCTCTTACATTATTGATTCTAAACATCACCCCTTCTTAAGTATGACTTTATTATTAGTTTTTACTTTCCTATAAAATATGCCTCATTTCATAGTAATGGGGAAATAGTATTTAACCTTATAAAAACTCTATTTTGGAGTTTCAGATATTTTAAAAATATGCATTAGTTAAGGCATGATATAAAATAGAGAGAGTAATAAATATTAGAGGGTAATAATATTTAAGAATTAATGAAATTCAACCTGTACACCAATGTTCATTGCAGCACTTCTCACAATAGCCAAAAGGTGGAAACAAGTGAAATATTCATCAAGGAATAAATGAATAAACACAATATAGTATATGCATGCAATGGAATACTACTCAACTGTAAAGAGAAATGAAGTCCTGACACATGCCACAACCCAGTTGAACCTTAAAAACGTCATGCTTAACAAAATAAGTCAGTTGCAAAAGGACAAACACCATGATATCCTTTATATAAAATAAGCAAATATACAGAAACCAAAAAGTATTAGTGGTTACCAGGGGTAAGAGGCAGAGGGAAAGGGGGAGTTTTCACTTATGAGGGAGTATATGCCAATGGTAGTGAAATAATTTGACAAAGAATAGTGAGAATGGTTGCACAACTTAAAGAATATACTCAATGTCACTGAATTATACATAAAAAATTGTTGTCATATGTTTTATGATGTGTGTTTTTGCCACAATAACAAAATGAATTAATGAAATCCACTAGGTAAGGTCAATAAAAGCTCTCCTTAATCTTGGCACAGTCTAACCCTTTGCAACTTCAAGAGTGATCCATAGACCAACAGCATCGGCATCACCTAGCGGATTATTAAAAATGAAAATCCCAGGCCTGATTTTAGGCCACTGTGTGAGAGTCTGCATTTTAACAACCCCTCCCACGTGATCATTAAAGTTTTAGAAGCATAGTTAGCCAATTGCAAAACTTCAGGGAAGCTCCATGAAGAGAAATTATTCCATGAATCTTTCTTTAATTTAGGTCGGGTTTCCCTTTGAAGATTCACAGACCCAAATACTAATGATTTTCTGTCTTGTCCAAATTATATTAAGATGCATTCTCAGAATCTGGTGACTTCCCTAGTCTTCATTTTACATCCAATTCAAGTTGCTGTGTGTTATGGATTGTCCCTACCACCCCTTCCACAGCAGATCCAGCTGTGCAAAAAGGGGAGAAAAGAGCAGCCATTGATATGAATTAGAGAATTATACTGACTGCTGATAGATGCTTTCTTTGCATGATGGGGATTTCAACTCCACTGTCACCACATTACCTTCTTCTCTAAAGATAGCCTTAGGCTCTAAGCAATAGAGACAATCTTATAAAGGAAACCCTCCAATCTTTCTCCTGGGCCAAGCTTTTGTGTTTCACACATCAAGTGAATTAGAGTAATTAGATGTTTAGTTACTTGAATTTATTTCTCTCCCACCATTGTTATCTTCAAATTGTCATCTTGAGAAGCTATGGAGAGACCTTTCCATGGCCTCAAAGATGAGAGTCTCATCACCATGATCATTGTTTGTTTTGGAGTAAGTATACATAATGGATGGTGAAGGTAACACTGATGACAACAATGACAAGAGTCCTTGTTGAAATAACCAAAAGATAGCAACAGTCTAAATATCCATCAACAGATGAATGGGTAACAAAACTGGTACTGGTACAGACATTCAATAAAATATTATTCAGTCATAAAGAGAAATGAAGTCTTGATATATACTACAACATGAATGAAACTTGGAAACATTATACTGAATGAAAGAAACAAGTCAGTCACAAAAAGACAAATATTATATGGTCCCACTTAAATGAAATATTTAGAATAAGTAAGTGTTCAGAGTTGATTAGTGGTTACCAGGGCTGGAAGTGGGAGAGAAGGGGGACTCATTGCTAAGGGGACACTAAGCTTCTGTTAAGGGTGATGGAAATATTTGGAAATGAATAATAGTGATGCTTATGCAGTGTGATGAACACATTTAATATCAGTGAGTTGTACAGGTGAAAAATGTTGTAATGGCAAGTGTTATATTCCATATATAATTACCAAAACAAACAAACAAAAACCCACAACAATGAAAGACGCCTGCTAAAGCAACAGCAATGACAAGATGAGGATGTGTGCAGAAGGGCAGCTCTTTAAGCAACAAAGGAAGATGACATACCCAAGCTGCACCCCAGACATCCTTCTTCACAAGGCACACATTCTTCATAGTCTGGGTCTTGGACTTCACCTGTACAGTGAGAGGCATGAAAAACACAGCTCATTTCCATGGAATGGAGAACATTAATTGCTATGAAAATATGGTGCCATGTAACTTATTTTCAAGCAAATCATAGAGCAATTAAGATATTGAAAATCCTTCTTGAACATATATGTGTCAATTGTTTTTATCTTCTATTAATTTAAAAGATTGGATCTGCCTGATTGGTTACAAATAGAACAAGATAGGACTGCATGCTGTGCAGCTATATTTGAAGTCAAGCTGCTGCACATTATTGATTAAAGAAACAAGTTCTACTTCTGGGAAAATGGAATTGGGTATGTAAATGAACAAGCTCTGCCTCTCTTTTTATCTGCCCTCCCAAACACTGTTTTTTTTTTAAGTTTTAAATCTTAATGGCACATTCATAAACATTAAGAAGAAAATGAAATGAATGTTTTAATTATTCTAAAAACATCCCAGAGCTCTCTTCAGCACTGCACCAGGAGTAATTCTTATACAGAGCAGAGCAATAGTCTGCAGAATTCTTACGTGGAGGAGAGCAAAAGCTCTAAGTGTTGTTTTTGAATCTTCCTCTTCTCATATAAGATATTGGGCAACACCAAAACATACCATTCTAGAACATTTTAATATTTTCAAGTAGTTTTAGGTTGGCTCATTCTCATTTGCTTCTCACAGCAGCTCTGTCATGGTGCTATGATTTCCCTCTCAGAAATGAAGAAACTAAGGCATGGAGAAATTAGCATAATTTTGTCCAGGGTCTCATATCTGATCATAGCGAAGGGAAAAACTGTTGTCAGGACTTCTGGGTTCTCATCTATTTTCTTTCCTCTTTTTCCTGCCCAAGGGGTTAGTGGCAGAATGCTCATCCTCCATGAGTGACACCTGGGGTTGTGTAGCCACAATCCATCAGTAGAGGCTGTGTGTTGCTATGATGCTGAAGAGGTTTCAACGGAGCTTCCAGTCTACGATGGACTATAAATAAAGGCCTGCCGATTTACTTTCAACAATTAGCCAATGAATTAGCTAATGAAAACTCCCTGGAACACAACCGATCTATCTGCAGCCAGTCACTGGGATGGCACAGGAGTTGTTCCTGAGGTTGTTAGGAGGTGAGAGCTGACTGGACAGGCAGGTGAAAACAACATATCTTGCCCACAAACTCCAGACCTTGGTTTGTGCCTAGGGAAATCCAGAGGAAGAATGTGTGGGGGAGAAGAGAGAGGCAGTATCACTATCCCTGTTTGAATTATGGAGTCATCTGAAGTCAACCCCAGTACCAAAGCCAGGAAGGCAATTCAAGGCCAAGAAACATCCTGGTGGGCAGTGCCTTATCCCCCTTCCTCATGTAGGGCCATGGCCCCAGAGGAGCTTTACCTTGTCCGCACTCCAGCTTCTGGCATGTGTGGTTGGCGGGCACTAGGAAGTAGCTATCAGCGCATTGCGTGCAGATGTGTGGGCCTTGGCAGAAAGCACAGTGGTCTGGGCAGGGCAGACAGGCATGCTCGGGCGCAGGGTAGTGACCCCCTGGGCAGTGCTCAAGGCACTCCCCCTGGAACAGGACTCGTTCTCGGCCAAGCTTATCTGAATGGTTTGGGGAAGAAGCAAAGAGAGAAAATTAGACAAAATTAGCCAAGAAACTGATATGACATAATCTATTTCATTTAAAAAACATGTATGTATATATATTTCCAGAGTCTTTTGCTTCTAGGGGACCTGGAGTGAAAGAATAGGCTTAATGAAATGTCCAGAATCTATATACTTGTAGGTGAATTGTTTTCCTCTTGGGGAATAATTTTCCAATAACAGTGACTACTATCTGGGATGTCATTGCAAAACCATGAGTTAGGCTGAGTGAATAACTACACAAACTGAATTTAACTTTCCTAAGTGCTCCCTTGAATATCTGTGGACCCTCTCAGACTTGAGGGCAGTGGAGATGCTATGAGAACAAGCAAGTGCTTAGTGATAGACACATTTTTAGGAAAGTGAAAAAATTTTAAATGATTTTTAACTTTGTTATTGAAATGACATACATGTGTTAACCACCTAAGGTCTGAATTTTTGCACAGCTGTCAAATTCTATAAGGGCAGCCTTACTGAAGCACAAGATTTCTGTGTGACCACTTCACCTGCATTCCTGAGAGCTCCTGACTCCAGAATGCTGAACTCTATCAGGAAAGAATCAGTAATACCTCCAGCCTGACCTACTACGAGAATTTGCTACTGGAGGAAATGGAAAATTCTTGTCAGTTACAAAGGATGGCTTGTTGTTGCTGTTAGTTGCCATCAAGTTGACCCCTATTCATGGGGACCGCATGTGTGCAGAGTAGAACCTCTCCATAGGACTTTCAAGGCTGAGACCTTTCAGAAGCATATCACCAGGCCTGTCTTCCGTGGTGCCTCAGGATGAGTTTGAACCACCAACCTTTCAGCTACTAGTCAGTCCAGCACTTAACCATTTGTGCTAGCCAAGGATTCCTAAAAAGGATTTTAATCAGTTATAAATATCAAAAAGTAATCAAGAATAATGTAGACACACCTAGAGGTTGCCTACTCCCATCCTCTTGGACTTTTTGTTTGTGCTGGATGGACCTCAGGGTATCAGTTTCTCTGAATGTGTCCTAGAGAGAATCAATACAGAGATGGAAAACGGGCGGGCTAAACAGCAGTGCCTGGAGAGGGCTACCACAATGGAGTGTCAACTTTGATATGCATTAAAAAATTGATTGGACTAAAATATTATTAAAGAACTGAATATCAAGTGGTTAACAGAAATTTATATAGATGCTCCCAAATTCTGCACTGTGTCACAGTGGCATAAGTAGGATGTGTGAAAGCCCACTGTAAGAAATATTCTTGTTTAAAGAAAATCCAAACCTAACCAAACTCACTGCCCATGAGTCCATTCCAAGTCACAGTGACCCTTATTGGGTCTCCAAGGATGCAAATATTTACAGAAGCATACTGCCTCATCTTTGAACCACTGATCTTTTGGTTAGTAGTCAAATGTCTTAACCACTACACCACCAAACTCAAAACCGAACTCACTGCCATTGAGTCAATTCTAACTCATAGTGACCCCCACTGGGTTTCTTAGGTGGTACATCTTTAGGGAAGTAGATTGCCCCATCTTCCTTCTATGGAGCAGCTGGTGGGTTGGTGGGTTTGAGCCTCCAGCCTTCTGGTGAGCAGTCAAATGCCTTAAAGCACTGACCCACAAGAGCTCCTTACTACACCAACAGAGCTCCTTTATTTAAAGGAACTAGCCACTCCTCAGAAGGAAGGTTGGGCAATCTACTCTTGTAGTGATACTGCCTTGGAAACCCAAGGAGGGGTCGTTATAAGTCAGATCTGACTGGATGGCAGTAGGTTTTTTTAGTTACTGTTTTAATCTTGCAGGAAAAGTTTGCCACTATGCTAGGACAATTTCAAACATTTTAGGAGGTGTAGATCACAAGGGAGAGTCCTGTGAAGTGCCCCAAATCAATTTGGACAGGAGTGGGTAGGTCCTTGGATCGCCACACCACCAGGCAATGTAAGCTATCAGGATATATTAATTGGTGAGAGTCTATGTATATTTTTATTACATTATATTCCTCAATATGTTATTTGAAATAAAGTAATTGAGTAAGTAGATTTTTCTCTTGGTGCTAATATATTAAGGGGCACTGACGGCATCCTCTGCCTACGGAACAAAAACAATCTTCACTGTCCTGCACCCAGATGTTTCTGCTTCTGAAGAGCAGTTGATCTGTGGTACCTAGTATAAGGGGGGACTAACGTTCACTCTTCATGTGATCTACCACATGGAAAAACAGAACCACTGACCTTCAACATGCAGGTCGGCTGAATTTGTGGATAAAGATAATATTAACATAGAGTTTAAACATAGCAATGATTGTGAAGATGGCACAAGACTGGGAAGTATTTCATTCTGTTCTACATTGGTTGCTATGAGTCAGAACTGACTTGATGGTACTTAACAACAGCAATAAAAACAACCCCATGTTGCAAGCACAGAAATGAAAAGTCAGTGTATTAGATTGAACCACTGAAACTGCTGATATTTGATTATTTTTGGCTTATAAACACAGTACCCTCAAATGGTTTAACCTATTATTTCTTATTTATTCAAAGCACTAGTTCAAATATAATCTAAAACTCACAACCATGAATCATGAGCTCTCAAGCTACCTTTTTTCTGATGGTGATTTCATGCCAGAAGCCTGCTGGTTCCCATGGAGAAATGAAAATGAAGAAGGCTTCCACAGAGGCATTGGGAAAAAAAAATGTCTGTTACCTCCAAGTTAGAAGAACATGATCACTTAAGAAAGTTGCATGTTTGGGACCATGTAACATGCATGTGGAGCCCCTATGTGGCACAAAGAGTTAATGTGCTTGGCTGCTAACTGAATGGTTGCAGTTTTGAGCTTTGAGTCTACCCAGAGACATCTCAGAAGAAAGTCCTAATGATTTATATCTGAAAAATCAGCCCAGTTCTATGGAGCACCATTGAATTGTCACACACATGGGGTCAGTAGGAGTGGGAATCAACTAGATAGTAACTGGTTTGGTTTTTAGTTTGTAATGTGTGTTTTGTAATTTTCTGTCTGTCTGTCTCTCTCTCTCTCTCTCTATATATATATACATATATATATATATATATATGTTATATAGATCAATATTGCAGATCATAAATTCATATCTTGGAATCTGGGCTCTCTGTGGATCACAAAGAAGCCGTCTTCAAAGTTATGGTCTTCTCAGGAACTGTATGAAATCACAGAAACCCAATTCTCATCCTAATTTATTCTGAAAAAAAAAAAATTCCTTTTGTCAGAGAGCTCCAAATTCTCTACGTATCTATTAAGAAGGAAGATCTAAAGGAGAACAATAAACTCATCTTTTCATCCATCTGGAAGTCATTGTACATCCCCCATGCCTTCACATGCCATCAAGTCAGGACCCAAAGCTTCTGGTACCCAAGCATATGGAAAGTTCTAAATACATATGCTAAAGACTAAAGTGTTGAGGTTCAAAGATGTCTTTTTGAAGACTAAGGTGTGCCTAACCCAAGCCATGATATTTTCAATTGCCTCAAATGCATGTGAAAGCTGGACAATGAATAAGGAAGACTGAAGAAGAGTTAATGCTTTTGAGTTGTGGTGTTGGCAAAGAATACTGAACGTATCGTGGATTGCCAGTAGAACTAACAAATCTGTCCTGGAAGAAGTGCAGCCAGTATGCTCCTTGGAAGTGAGAATGGTCAGACTTCATCTCACCTATTTTGGTCATGTTGTAAGAAGGGACCATTCCTGGAGAAGGATATCATGCTCAGTAAAGTGGAGGGTCAATGAAAAGGGGAAGACTCTCAGTGAGATGGAATGACACAGTGACTGCAACAATGGGCTCAGGCATGGCAAGGATTATGGGCTGGCATGGGACCAGGCAGTTTTGCTCTGTTGTGCATAAGGTCGCTATGAGCTGGAGCCAACTTGATGGCACCTAACAACAACAACAACAACAACATGGGTTGAACTGTGTCCCACCAAAAAAGATACATTGAAGTCCTACCCTACAGTACCTCTGAACATGGCCTCGCTTGGAAATAGTCTTTGAAGATGTTATCAGTTAAATTCTTATGGGTCATATTGGAATAGGATGGGTCCTTATCTAGTATGACTGGTGTCCTCATAAAAGGGCAGACACAAAGAGACATACAGAGGGAAGATATACGATGACAGAACACCAATGGAGTTATGCTGCACCTGCAAGCCAAAGAATGTTTGGAGATACCAGAAGTGTGTGAGAAAAGAAAGGCTCTGCTAGAGCCTTCAGCGAGAGCATGGCCTTGTGGACATGCTGAATGTAAACCTCTGACCTCCAGAACTGTGAGACAAAAATGTATGTTATTTTAAGCTACCCATTTTGTGGTACTTGTTTCAACAGCTCTAGGAATAATGCAAAATGTTTATTGAATAATTGAAAGAATAAAAGAGTGAGTGTTTTAGTATTTGTCAATATTGATGTGTTCCCCATATATCCAACTGAACCAACAATCTTAAAATAAATATTAATGGGGATGGGTTCAGATATCTGAGGAAATGTTTTACAATTCCATTTTTATTATACAAGAAAAAAAAATTGCCTAAGGAACTTGACTGCTAACCAGAAGTCTGGCGGTTTAAACCCACTAGCCATTCCTCTGAAGGAAGGTTGCTACTTCCATAGTAATACTGCCTCGGCAACCCAAGGAGGGGTTGCTATGAGTCGGGGACGACTCGATGGCACATAACAACAATGACAACATAGGATAGAATAAAACTTCCCCATATGATTTCCAAGGCTGCAAATCCTTATGTAAGCAGACTACTTCATCTTTCTCCTGTGAAGTGGCTGGTGGGTTCAAACCACTGACCTTTTGGTTAGCAGCCCAAAGCTTTAAACACAATGCCTCTATGGCTCCTCTTTTTTTAAAATTATACAGTAATTGCTTTATTATTTTAATCTCATTGGTTATAATTACAATTTGGGATTAAACAATAGCGATTTGAAGGGCCTTGGTATTTAAAGCACATGGACCCTGAAAAAGGAGTTCACTTAAATGTCTTCACCATAGACAACTTCCTCAGAGATTTGGCCCAGGATTTTGTTGAGATTTGGTCATATTTCTGATAGCTCAGTATGACAGCTTGTTTAGTTTTGGGTGATAATTTTTGTAGCCTGTAGATTTAAGTGCCATACATAAATTTTTGGCTACTTGGCTAGGGTCTCAGAATTGAGATTCTTGTGATGATATGCAGGAAAAGCTGGTTAAGTAGTCGACGAAGATATTTGTTATTAAGTATTTAAACCTTTCATGTGATGATATAAGAGTTAAAATGCAACGAACTTTGAAGGAGGCTAAGATCAGCTTTCAGTCATACTGTAGAGTGAGCTCATTGTCACCAGAGTGCTTTCCAGCAGTTGATTTTCTTAAAAAAGAAGGTAGACCAACATGAAGGCATTGGATGTGCAGGAAGAAAGGATAGTTGAAGGCATGAGAGAAAGGGACAGCTGGAAAAGATGAAAGAGAGAAAGGCTGAGGGACTCCGAAAAGAAATTTTATGGAGTTTGATATTTTGCTTACTGAATATTTGTTAAAACCTATAGAACTGTACAAACAAACAGATAGTGACCTCTAATGTGACCTATGGACTTTAGTGAATAATAAAGTATTAATATTGGTTCATCACTTTGTCCATCAAGTAACAAATGTACTACAAGAGTGCAAGACGTTAATCGGAGAAACAGTGTATGGGAGAAGAGTTTTTACTATGTGTCTAGCCTCTTTCTGAATGGTTTATTGTTTTATTTCATTTAATCTCATTTATCTCTTAAAATAACTCTAAAAGACAGCACCATTATCGCATCGTATAGATGAGAAAAGAAGCAGAGTGTAGCAAGCTAGAAATTTGATACAGATATACTTTTTGTACATTAAGAAACACAAAGAAATAATTTAAATTCATACCAAGAAATTTATTATCTTCCATATTTCTGAAAATATATGATCTTCTCAAACTGTCTTTCATTTTTGTTAGTTTTATTACAAGCAAGAATAAAGAGAAATAGTTCTTTTCCATGTTAAAAACCATGTAATGTGATGATGGGTGGATACCAAAAACTTTAGGGTCAGGGAGACAACTGGGAGTGGTGGGAATTGTGGAGAAGCGAGGAGCACATCTCTTGCATTAAGGGGACAGCCTCTCCCATTTCTAGCCAACTATTTGGAAAATGCAATCCCAGTGCTGCCAGATCTTCCAAGTTTTCAAGAGAAACAAAATATTCAGGTTTTTATTTGGAATTTCCCAATTTTTAAATTTGGTTCAAATTTTTAAAAGTGCAGTGCAGGCCAAATAAAGTGTGAGTCTGGCTCAAAGACTGTCATCTTGCCCCATGAGGAGGGACAGACATATGAGGTAAGGTTGGAGAGGAGTCAAGAGTCAAACTTTAGAGGACCTTTGAGATGAAAGAATGTAAATCCAATTACAGCAGAAAAATTTTAGAGGTGTTAAAACTGGGACACAAAAGGTCATATTTGTGCTCTGGCAACTTCTAAAAAGCATAGCTCAGTTGTGAGAAGACCCTGACACAGCCTCTGTCACAAAATTTCTCTTAGAGGCTGAAGTGTCTTCCTTAATTTCCTGACTTTTCACTTTTACTTCCAGTCTCAGCATTACTGTTTCTCCTCATGTCTGACTTAATGTTTGCACAGCCTTCCTTTCTCCAGAAAGACATTGCTTTTCTCTCATCTCTTCAGAGGCAGTGACTCTGCCTATAGTAATGTGAACAAGGTTTTTCATGTTCTTGCAACAAACAGAAATTCTAAGGTGTACACCCTCTCCAACGAACAGCTGTCGAACCTTCACTCCTCAACCCCCGAGACAAGGCTTCTGAGTCAAACCAAATAATGGCTTATAGTAGAAGAACAGGTTTAAGGCAAGGGAAGAACAGGCAAGTGACCAGACTCCCTCACTGTGATGTTTTTGTTTTTGTGTTAAAAATACATAATACATTTGCCAATTCAACATTTTTTTACATGTACAAGTCAGTGATATTGATTAATCAGGTTGTACAATGTGTTAACTTAGCTAGGCTATGGTGCCCAGTTATTTGGTCAAACACTAGTCTAGATGATGTTATGAAGTGGATACATGTGATTAAATCAATTGTTCTTAAGCAGATTACCCTCCATAATGTAGATGGGCCTCATCCAATCCATTGATTGCTTTATGAGCAAAAAGGGAGTTTCCTTAGGCTGTGTTCTGCATCCAGATTAGAAATAAATATTCTGCCAGAACTCTCTTTCTTCACTCTTCCCATTGCCTGTCCTTCAGATTTTGGGATATAAGCCTACAGAAATCTCAAGCCTGTTGTTTGACCTACAGATTTTGGAATTGCCAGCTCCCATAATTACATGAACAAATTCCTTAAAATCTCTCACTCTGTCTCTATACATACATATATATATGTGTTGTGTACATATATGTATACATTCTATCTATCTGTTTGCCTATCTGCCTATGTATCTATCAATTTATATATCACCACTGCTAACCAGAAGGCTGGCGGTTCAAACCCACCAGCCACTTCTCAGAAGGAAGGTTGGGCAATCCTATATCCGTAGTGATACTGCCTCAGAAACCCGAGGAGGGGTCGCTATGAGTCAGGGCTGACTCGACGGCACATAACAACAACAACAACAACATGCGTTCTTAGTTGCCTAAGATACTCACCTACACCACAGGAGGTGCAGTTGGAAGGCTCACTTCCTTGGCATTCTTGGCAGGTGTGGTGACATGGATAGCATTGGTTCTTAAATTCAAATTTCTGCGAAGGGCAGTTCAAAACACATCGGCCATTGTCAAAAACCCTAAAAGAGTGCAGATAGGAAAAGCAAACTGAAGTAGAGTTTGTAAGGGTGCTTTTCTGGAATGGCCTTAAGTATCAGAATATATTGTGTGTTGTGTCACTGCACAGATTTCGTTTTATTGTTCCAGAAACAACGGGGATGCCTCTGACCCATCGATGGTAAAGCATGTGAAATATTAGTCACATACCCATGTCAGCCCAAAGCTTAGTTCCAATAGCAGGCATGCCAGAGACTGGCTGGGGTGTCCAGAGGATGCAATTCCTGATTCTAGTTTCAAAACAAGGTGACTGGTGCCCACAGGGCCTACCCATATTGTAGGCCCTGTTGAGCCCAGGTAACAGATGGAATCTCTGAATTTTCAAGACACTAATCAGGCCTCTGAATCCACAGGTCTTGGAGCAAATATTCTTCCTTTATCAGCATGCCCACACTTTGCTAGGGAAATGTCAACTCCAAGGGCTCCCAAAGGGTAGAACAAAGCACAATCCTATAGCTTAGGTGTTACTGTTAAACTTGGTTTATGCATATTGCAAATAATCAACAAATTCCATATTCATATTTTTTTGCAAGCATTTCCTGATGTATGAGGTATTATAGACTCACCAGCCACCCCTCAGAAGGAAGGTTGGGCAATCTAATTCCGTAGTGATACCATCTCAGAAACCCAAGGACGGGTCGCTATGAGTCAGGTCCAACTCGACAGCCCATAACAACAATGACAACAACAAGTGTCATATTACCCAATAAGCAAGGCAAGCACAAGTTTATTTGTGATTACTAATCTGTACTGAACCATTTTACATTTTTTTACCACATAAAAAATTCTCCTTCTAAGTACGGCTGCACCTGTCTCTCTCCCAATCTCACAGCCCCTTCCTACAGAATCACAGCCTCTTTTCAAATTTATAAACCCTGCCAGGGATAGAGTACCAAGTAGGCAAGGTAAGCACAGGCTTACTTGTGCTTATTTATTAATCTGTCTTGAACAATTTCACATGAGTTTGCTGGGCATATTTCACTTATTGATCATTTAACAACAACAAAAACAAAAATCCAAAAAACCCAAACTCACTACTGTCGAGTCTGACTCATAGCGACCCCTCCTTGGGTTTCCATGGCAGAATCACTATGGAAGTAGATTGCCCAGCCTTCCTTCTGAGGAGTGGCTGGTGGCTTTGAACCACCAGCCTTCTGGTTAGCAGTCAAATGCCTTAGGCACTATGCCACCAGAGCTCCCATTGGCAATCTACTCCTGGGTAAATCTTGCGGGTAGAGAGTTGAGAAGTGATATTTCTGACAGTTTCCATGTGACATCGGTCTGGGAACACATTTTGAGAATGATTGCTCTACTTTATAGTCTGGATTATTGTGAAATTTTCTAAATGATTTCTGAGTAATGCAGGTGATTCCAAATTGGTGTTTCTTTGAGCTTCTTTAGCATAGGAGCTACTGACTACTGTGTAATTGTGCGTGTAATTGAGCTAGAAGTACATACATGCCTGAACGCATCATGCCGGCTCCAGGTCTTGAAGAGCTGTTGTTGTTGTTGTTGTTAGGTGTCTTCGAGTCATTTCCGACCCATAGCGATCCCATGCACAGCAGAACGAAACACTGCCCCATCCCGTGCCAGCTCCACGATCCCTGCTATACTTAAGCCCATCATTGCAGTCACCGTGTCAATCCACCTCGTTGAAGGCCTCCCCCTCTTTTGTTGACCCTCCACCCTACCAAGCATGACATCCTTCTCCAAAGAATGGTCCCTTCTGACAACATGACCAAAATAGGTGAGACCAAGTCTGGCCATTCTGGCTTCCAAGGAGCATTTCAGGTGCACTTCCTCCAGGACAGATCTGTTAGTTCTTTTAGTAGTCCATGGTACTTTCAGCCTTCTTCGCCAGAACCACAACTCAAAAGCATCAACTCTTCTTCGGTCTTCCTTATTCATTGTCCATCTCTCACATGCATACCAGGTGATTGGAAATATCATGGCTTGTGTCAGACGGATCTTAGTCCTCAAAGAGACATCCTTGCTCCTCAGCACTTGAAACAATTCCTTCGTGGTTGACTTTCCCAATGCTACACATCATCTATCCTGACTGCTCCTTCCATTGGCATTGATTGTAGAACCAAGCAACGTGAACTCTTTGATAACCTCAATCTTCTCTCCATTTATTGTGATGCTGCTCATTGGTCCAGTTGTGAGGATTTTTGTTTTCTTTATATTGAGACATAATCCGTACTACAGACTGTATTCTTCAGCCTTCATCAATACGTGTCTCAAGTCATCTTCACTTTCAGCAAGCAAAGTTATATCATCTGCATATCTCAGGTTGTTAATGATTCTTCCTCCAATCCTGATGCCACGTTTTTCTTCATATAGTCCATCTTTTTGGATTATTTGCTCAGCAGATAGATTGAATAAGTATGGGGAAAGGATACAGCCCTGACACACTCCCTTCCTGATTTTAAACCATGTAGTGTCCCCTTGTTCCATTTGAATGACAGCCTCCTGGTCAAGGTACAGGTTCCTCATGAGTACAATCAAGTGTTCGGGAATTACCATTCTTCTCAATGTTATCCATAATTTGTCATGATCCACACAATCAAATGCCTTTGCATAGTCAATAAAACACAAGTAAACATCTTTCTGGTATTCTTTGCCTTTGAAGAGCTGAGTGGGCAGTAAAGAAGGAAAAGGCTTCTTTCCCTCTCCAGCCTCTATGCAGTCAGGTGGGACACCTCACGAAAGTTTAGGTGTAGGCTGCCAGTATCTTGTTCTTAGAGTGGCGCTTGTTTGTCTAAACTCCACTGTTTCCATAGCTAGGGCCAACCCTGAACAGGGGGTGGGCATTTCCATTCTGAGTTGTCTTCATTTCCTACTGTAATACAAATACCAAAAGTGGGTGGTTTCAAAGAGCAGAGATTTATTTTCTCACAATTCTGCAAGCTGAAAGTCCAAATCAAGGTGATGGTTATGTGGATTCCTTCCTTGTTAATAGGCCTGGCATTCCTTGGTTCCATGACCATCCTCATATGGCATCTATCTTCCCCAGCATGGGCTAGCTTCTATGTCTAATCTGCATTTTTTATAATTCAGGAGTGATTAGGTTTAGGACACACCCTATGCTTTATACACCCCCTATATGGCCTCATTAACATAATAATGAAAATCCTCTTTCCAAATGGGATTACATCCAAAGGTACAGGTGTTAGAATGTCAAAACATATTTTCTGGGGCACACAAGTCAATCCATAACACCAGGTTTGGAGGAAATTGGGGTGAGGGGCAAGGCATCCTGAACAAAAATGTGGCTTGCAGTCTTCCCTCTGGTCCCCATACCCTGAAAGTCTGTATAATCTGTATCTGTTTGGAAATGGAGTGGGATTAAAGACAGCAACAGAAGATATATGCACCAATGCCAATGAGGAATATCTTGTCCCCAGCCTAGCTCTGGTTTCTGAGCTAAAATTTTCAAGGAATAATTTATATATGGCTAGCGTAGTGCCTAAGGCACTTGACTGCTAACCAGAAGGCCGGCGGTTCAAATCCACCAGCCGCTCCTCGGAAGGAAGATGGG